TGGGATTTCACCTGATCAGTGAGGTGAGGACATGGTTCCAAAAAACCCAGAACGAATTACTTTAAAGAGTCTAAAACAGCTCTTACAAAATAGTTTGTCTGTAAAAAGAAAATGCCAACATCCAGTAAAAAACAGTAAGTTTTCAATCACAGAGTCATGTGAATTGAGCTGTCTTTGTTTTCCTTACTTCTTATTATGTATTTTACCCATGATTTTGCCTGATCGCATTTCCATTGCTCTCCCAGGAGTCATTTCTACAGCCTAATAATATCACATTTCCAGAAAGTTTTCTAGAATACAGAGCTTACCTTTACCTTTTTTTCATTTCTTGTATGTGACTAGAAAACATATTAAGTATAATAATCTTCAGTAGCATTTTGCATCTTACTGTTTCAGTACACTGGCAAAAAATGCAGTTCATTTGCATTACATTATTCCAGCTATTGCTTTATTGTCCGCATTTATTCCAAGCACTATTTCAGGATATTGATGGTTAGTACAGAGGAAACATTTATATGTTTCAAGTAATTTGTGATGCACTGATTCTGTGTGGATAGCAAAGATGCCATCTGTTTTACTGTTGAATAGCTGCAAGTGTTTACTTAGCTTCTTTATAGACTCACCTGCTCGTGACTTAAGAGAAACTTTCAAGAGATCAATGTAAGAAGAGGACAGAATCTTTTCTAATGTCTTGGGGATCTGCTCTGGCTGTGTACTGAAAATGCTTGTATGCATAATACGGACACCCTATTATTACTGTCCTCACAAGTCACTCTTTAGACTATTAGCAACAGATTACTGTTTTCTTCTGAATGTATAAATCTTGCTTCATTGACCAGATCAGGGTGGGAAGGACTCCAGCAGCCCCTAGGAATTGTAATAATTGGAGTCAAACTATGCTTAGATACAGTCAATATGAACAGTAACCCATGCCATGGGGAACAGGCCTGAGCAGACTTGATATTGAACTGCTGCTAGGCTTTTCTGGGTTGGAGACACGGGCTAGCAGCCCAATGATACCTAGATTTGCTTTGGTCATGAGACTACACCAGCATCCTAGAGTGCTGTAACATATTTAGAGAACCTAGTTTCTTTTACACTGTATATATTGAAATATATTCTCTGTATAAAGTTGCAATTCTAAAAATAACCTCTCTACTTCTCAAGAAAAGCTTGAATTTGATTACTTTCAAGACATTCTGCAAAAGATGCCTGGGCAACTGAGTTTAAGGAGATGGATGCAAATACACTTCCTGCATTAGTGAAGGCTGGAGAAGAGATTGGGTTTTTTAAGAGTCAGGCTGGCAAAATTCCTTTTTTAGTAATTACCTTAATCCTCAAGAGTATTGTCATAATACTAATTCTATGAACTGGAAGCACTACAGCTTATATAATTATGACCTTAAATACACATAAATGCTTCTTCACATCAACACCAAAAATCTTCAGCCAAGATCAGCTCTTCTTCAACAGCTGTCCTCTCCACAGACAACTTAGGCACTGGACATAAACAAGCAGGTAGTTTGGTCTAGCAAGATGGAGGGAGGACTTTATCAGCCTGGGGATGACTGATAAACACATAAGCCATGTTAGCTTTAATAACAGGTGTTCCTGTTTGCTTTTAATAATACCACAATAGGTATGAGAAGTCCTACTAAATAGACATGCCTAACTTATTTCATGTAAACTTATGAAATGTCTACACAGCTTCTCAGTAAGTTTCCATATGGACATACAGGCTTAATGAAGCTTGGTAATTGTGCCACAAGAGGTGCTGAGCCTGGTGCTTTTCATATCAAAAAAATATAATCCCAGAGCAAACACAGTGGAGTATGCTGAGCTACCTTTGAGTTATGTATTGGATGGGTCTACTCTTCTTTTCTGTTCTTGTCTTGGTGGTGTTTAGGTTTATGTGGTAAATGCAAATTGTTCTCTCTCTCATGAGTTTACTGCTAACTATGCAGTATTTGGTATTCAGTGGCTGTACTCTCAGAATCAAATCATTTGGGGAAATTGAAACTTCCTTTACAAACATGCCTATGACATTTATTGGCCTATTTTTATCCACTGATTCTTGACCCATACTTTACTGATGAAAGAAAGAAATTCTTGAAAATGGAGGTAAGAGGAGAAATTTACGTGGGATAATCTGTAGCTCTATATACTAATAAACTGTGGAAGTGTTACTCTAACTGAGAATTAAATTATTATTATGTTTGGTAAATTTCTGGTTTTCTTTAAAATACTAATAACGTGGAACAGTGGAAGATGGGTAATCAGCTATTTCTTAAGCTTATTTTTAATAAGTACCTGAAAATAAACTAAACTATTGAATCTATGCTAAACAGAGAGGTGTGAATGAAATCTTTTGACCATCTTAAAGATTTTATTTCAAGTTTATAATCGCAAATGGTTCCACAGATCCAGCGGTAAAACAAAAAAAGGCTGTCTTCTAAATTTGTCCAATATTAAAACACAACACTTACCAGCAACTTCCATACAGTAAAGCCTAACCCACATTGATTCCACCACATCGTTCCAAATAATTCTGGCATGTCTGGAACATTTGTGAGTTGGCATCGGTGATCATAACTTTAGTGTTATGCTCTAGTTTGACATTAACAAACAACTTCTCATGACAGACATTTTGATTAAACATATTTTGCTATGTTTGCACTCAGCCTTTCTATCTAGTCTGTGCAAGTTTACTGTCTGGGGCAGAGAAGAAAATGCTTCACTTGAAGAGACAGCGATTTTGGTTAGTCCTTGTAGGCACTGTTGAAATGCATGTAATAATTAAAAGGCAGGATGAATTGCTTGTGTGAGCCTCACTACCCTTTTTCCATGAGCTCAGAGAAAAGCAGTCCAAAATCGTTGTAGTATTGCCACTCCTTGAGTGCCAGAGAGCTCGCTTCTTATCACATCCACTCTCACACATTAGTTTCAGGGATGCAGCTCACATAATTCCCTTCTTCTGATTGCACACGCTGGTGTTCTAATTTAACAAAGTCTTCTTGTCACATATGACAATTATGTTGAGTCTGCCTCTCTTTATTCAGAGACTCGGTCTCTCTTCAGTACCCCATGAGCTTGCAGAATATGTGAGATTACTTGTAATCAGCTACTTTTGTGCTCAGGATGTCTGCTTCACCACAACTTAAAAATGAGAAAGGAAGACGTAGACAGCTTATGAGACCTGGGTGGTGGCTTGAATCTTAGGGACCAATTCATTCCAAAGAGCAGCCTCAACAGCAGGACAAGTGTTCAGTAAAGAATGCCTTTATGATTGTAAACAGTTATTAGAGCCTGGTCCTGCAGCCTGATTTGCTTAGATGCAGGCTGAGACTACAAAACCAGAAAGTTACAGGATTTGTATCATAGTACAAAGCTTATTTCCAGGAAAAGATCTGAAAAGTCCAGGAAAAAAAGGCTGAAAGGGTAGACAGATTTACTATTACAACTGTGAGGTCTTCTAGAGAGACATTCTGTCTTATAAATGTGCACACACTCTTGGCAGGGGAAAAAGGAAATGTGAAGAAATTGTGCATTTTCGTCACCTCTTCACTTAGGAAACTGTCCCCAGGGATCTCTGTGCTTGCAGTTGGGTCAAACCTGTTTCTAAGTTTCCCTTCAGAAAGGCAAAACTATTCACACGAAGTATTTCCAGGGTTAAATATTAATTCAATTTTTCCTAATATGGAAAAATTACTGTAATCATAGAGTGTAGAAAGTATTATTTAATTATGAGATATTATGGATAATCCTTTTAGTCTAGGCAGTCTTAGAGAGAGGAGGAAGTCCCTCTTGGAAGAGTTTGTAGTCTAAATGGACAGGGCAAACACAGAGCAGAATAAAATTATGCAATATTTAGGCAAAACCAGTGCCTGGCCACTAACTGAGGGAAGAAACTACTCAATATGAAATGGTAAACAGTAACAGTTAGAATCACAGATTATTTTAACTGTAAAAATTAGTGTAAGGTCTTAGCAATAACCTGGACACTAGTTGGCTGTAGGTAGTTTAAACTGAAAATGCACATATGCCTCACTATGCCTACAACAGAGCCTAAATAGGTTTTCTGTGTTTCAGCTGTTATTTGCTAAAACATAATACCTTAGGAGTCTTGGTCACAGAGCAGGTTCCCTCCCTGCCAAATGCTCCTCAAAACTCTTAACAAAAAAACATTCTCTGCAGCAAAGGACTTTCATTTGGATGGTAACATGTCAGCATTTAATGTAAGTTAAATGTAAGTTCATGCGCTATTTCTGTAGTAGTTTGTGGTGGGTTCAGAGATGAAAAAGTATTTTGAATCCAGCCATACTTCCTGAGAGAAACATTGCTTTGCGTATCTAAAGAGAATCTACCCACCCAGCTGAAAATGTCACATGCTTTTGGAGCACACAGTTGACTAGCAGATAGTAATGTGGGACATAAAGCACAAGGCTTGCCACAGTTGAGCGTGTGTCAAACTTAAGTCACTTGACCAGTTAAAAAATTCAGTCCTGCATTGTGTTCTGTATTCAGTTAGATTTTTTTTTCCTCTCGGTTGCTTCAGTTTTGTTTTAAGAAATCATTGCACTGACAAAATGCATATTATGTACATGTTATCCAAACTGTATAGTAACATTTACGTTTGGGTGTAATTTTTTTGACACACGTATTACCAGAACTCACTCTGTCAAAAGGCCATTTCCCCCATTAAATGAAACCCTTTATCTGTATACAAATTAGCAAATAGTTCTGAAATGGTCTATTTTATTTTTTCATGCTTAATTCTCCATAGCCATAGATATCCATGGGACTAATTCCATAAAGAGCAATTTGCCTTTGAAAAAGCCCAAAATGTGCTTCTGAGTGTTCAAAAACTGTGTGTGAAAGTGATTTTTGCCGTAGAAGTCTTGCAATGTGCGTTTCGATGACACAGTTCTGATCAATGATGTTAGTGTAGCAAAACCTTGTTAAACAGCTGTTGTTTTTCTTCTAGAAACTACTAGCTGAAAATGACACAGCAAATGCATAACTTAAGTCTCCTCCAGACTAAAAAGAACAGCATGCCATCCTCTCCAAATGCTGCAAAGCGGTTGTATCGGAACCTGTCAGAGAAGCTTAAGGGGAGTCATACATCCTTTGATGAAGCATATTTCAGAGCTCGATCTGACCGGCTCAGTCTCCGTAAGACCTCAATGGTAATTACTTGATATTTATCAAATTGCCAATTTACTGTCTTACTAATCTTCCTTAATTGGTTTGCTTCTAATATGTATAATTTTCACCATCTCACTTTGTCTGTTCCCTGACCAGTGCTGTACATTCTTCCCAGACTTAATATTTATGATCCTGTGTCAAAATAAAGTCTGACCACCTTGAAGGCTAAAGAAAAGCTACTTTACCTAAGTAATGATGCTTTATTTTAGGAGTAAGGTCTTATCTTGGCATTAACTTGACAAAATGTGGATTAAATATACACATACAAGTGTTTCCTTTACGAGAAATGAAGAAATAGTATTTTGAGAAAACTGAAGATGACTTTAATAGAAGTTCCCATTTTTCCAAACAACAGAGCAAGTGGAACTTACATGCTGTGACAGATAAACGCAAGGTTGTTCACAGACTGTGGTGATGGTCACTAGATCAGACCATGGAAAAAGGAGATCACACATGTGACCCTAGTCGCAGAACACAGCCAAGCACTCTGGTGTCAGTACAGGAAAGCATATAAGCACCTGCTCGACTTAACACTCACAAGTGCTCCTATTTATGCCAGTGCCGGTAAAGTTACACAACCTCCAGCACATACATTTTGAAGAATAGACTATGTCCCTGAAATAATAGCACAGTGTAAGTTCAGTGCACAACAGAATCTTTTATATTTGCTGGAGGAAGATGAACCTGTTGTTAATATTGCCAAAACAAAATAAATTCCATTTTTCCATAAGTAGAAAGAACAGACACATCCTTCAACTTGTGCTCTGAATTATTTTGCACTTCTGAAGAGCAATGACTTATGACAGTGTCTGTGAATATGTCATGAGACACCTCTTGGAACCATTACTCTGCTGCCCCAAAGCAGATGCTTAGTGCAGTGCAGGGCTAAACTCTGAATATGGTTGGGCCAGATAATAAAAATATTACATTTTGTCAGAAGAAAAATCACACTCTGGAGTCCTTTAACACTTGCAAATCTTTGTTATGTATGAGATATTATATGAATCCATGCAAGAATTGAAAATAATTTTAAAATCAATTCAATGATCCTCTCCCCTAGGATTGCTCCTTTCTTGAAGTCAGAGGACCCATGCATACCCAATGGAAGAGCTAAGCTGAAATGTAGCTCTAGTGCATTAGAAAGTCAAGAGACTGTTGTCTCTCTCCTGTGAAGAAAGACGATGACCTGAAGGAAGCAGGGGATCATGGCTCCTTCCTCCCAGCTCTGCCAGAGCCGATAGATTTTGGTTTACAGAACGAGAAGCCAGAAACACAAACAGAGCTTGATAGTTTGAGAACAGCCTTTGTACAGTAGCCAATAGCTGTGCTTTTGAGGCAGTGGGTTTCCAGATGCTTTCGGTTTGTAGGGATCATTTGAATTTGGGCTTCTAGGTATGAACTGTGGGAAAAGATTCTTTAGATGAATATTTTAGCCACTATCTTTTCTCACCTTTTTCTTTCCAATTGCAAGCTTATGTGTGACTAAGCGAGTGAAAGAGAGGAGGATAAACTAGTGCTGGGGACCATGCCAGAGCAGACTGACATGTAGACTGAATGAATGCCAGTCTGTTAGCATATCTTCTGACCGGTGCTTCTCTAAATATACTCTTCAAATTACATATTCCTTCAAATATGGGGTCTTCTGTCTTACTTACCTAATGAGAAGAGAAATGGCAAATGAGCATAGCCCAAAGATTGAGGAGCAGCGTACTGCTTATGAGGCTCAAGTCCTCTGCTATCCACAGAGCTAATTACTTACAATCTCACTTCTCTCCCTTTTCAGTCCAGATCTGTCAGGTGGTGGGAGTGTCTAATCAATCAGTAGTCATAATTAAGAGACTCAATTTTACATTGTGATGTGGATGGTGGTCTAATGGGATATATACTTGTTCTAACTTTGTTTCCCCCGACTCACTCCACTGTCATGGGAGTGACATAGCTTTTGTCACTGCTGACCTACAGTCAGCACAGGTACCTCTACGTATTACAGTCTGGGGTCTGAGATGGTGCCCACAACAGTCAGTGAATAGGCTCCCACTGAACTCAAAAGGCTTTGGATCCCATTCTAGCCATTCTGCCTGTTGTTTTCACAGTTTTCCCTAGAAATAAATAGCAAGAAAACCGTCAGTGAAGGGGTGGAAATATTCCAGGTCAAGTTGCTAGCTGATGTATTTTATAATCATTGAGTTTCTGTGCTAGAGAGCTAAGTCAGTGACGAAAATCATGTCTCCAGACAAGTGAACAACATTTTTTAGAATTTGTTTTCTTTCAGCTTTGGCTAGTGAAGAGTTTTCTTTCCATTCTCTCTTGCTGTGCAACACTTTCCATTCAGTAAATTGTTGTCTTGCTGCAGACATAGCAATGTCCCAAAATAGCTTTATTCTTGAACTCATGTTTATCAAAACAACCCTTTGCAGAAACTACTTTAATGTTTTTTCCAACTCCAGTAGCACATAGTGGACTTTTTCAGTCAAACCTAGAGCAAATATCTTGAAAGGGGCACTTCATTTTAATTAAGCTACATAAGATTGCATTTCTAAACACACCAGCACTGAATCACTTACTGGAACACAGTTATTACTTACTGCAAAGCAATACTGTAGTCCTTTTCAGTATATACATTTGTGCATCAGAGTAACACCTAAATAAATTAATCACATAGCACAGCTGTCTAGGTAATGATTAGAGGCTGCAGGACTGAGTCAAGAAAAAAGCAATGTAAAAACTGCCCTAAACTTTACCTGATCACTTGTAAATGCAATTCAGTTTCTCTTTGAATTCAACAGTTTTGTTTTTTCAGAGCAGAAGAAAGTTATCTAGTAAATGTAAATGAAGGCAGAAATCAGAAGGTTCTTGTTAGTATTTGTGACAATACCAGCTGGACTAAAACTGAGCACATGGCTCTAAAGATACTGCCTCTTACCCCTGTTTGAATTTCTTACCCCTGGGCTGCAGGTGTCTGAATAACCCTGTGATACTAGCAAGTCTTTACATAGAATATGAACAGCTTTTTGCAGAAAACTATATAATCTTCAAATCTATTTCTGTCTTCTGCATGGAAGCAAATACTTGGGGGAAAGTTGGTCAGGTGTATAGAAAAGAATGTTTTTCTGGACTTGGAGAGCTGGGCTCGATGCAGACTTCCAAATGGGGCAATTTACTGGCATGGCTGAAAATGTGGTAGACATTTTGCTGTCTCACCAGGTTATTTTTTGACTGAAATAGGTATAGCATGGTTAGATGCGCAGTGTTGTGTGGATGAGGCAGGCATACATGCCCAGTTAGAAAGGCCATATCACAGTTCCCATGTTTTTGCACTCTTTAAAGTTATGAGACTTTCCAACATATTCCAGTCTATTGCTTGTGTCTGAATTGTTCATTTGGAAAACCTGGTATTTGCAATTTGGTCTCATAATTGTTTGGATTGGATGAAATAGCTTACAAAATTTGTGCTTTGTTTCTTCTTTAAATCAGTGCAGCTTTTTCAATCAGATTTCTAATGAACTGAAGAAATAGAAATTTGCTTTTATTTTTTACCTTTTGGTGAAAAATTCTTGCCAACAGGTTAGCTGGCAAGAGCGTTTATGAGGAATTAACCTAAGCATGTGCTTAGATTCTGTTCAGCAATGTACTTAAGGCCAAAATTTCACAAATATTTTAGGTATTTCATGTGGCAAGCAAAAATCCAAAGATACGTTTTCAAAGGCAGTTCTAAATCTTGATAACTGACTCCAAAAATAACAATTCAAATCAAAGTTTTAAAAATAGTTCTACAATAATCATTCAGGTAGGTAATTCTGTTGTTAAAGTATGTATATATATTTGAAAAGGGCCAAATGCTTTTGTCAGCCATGTCATTGGGTTAATTTCAGCTATAATACTGAAGTTAGCCATCTTTTTTTATCATGTAACAGGGATTTTTTTTTTTTTATATAACACAAGAAATTCCTGAGATGTAGTACAAGATTGATTGAGTTTCACACAATATTGGAATTAAAGCCAAATAATGGTATTGAACAGGTAGGGTAGCACTCTACAAATGCTAACTCACTTAACTTTTATGCATATACATGAAGTCAATTAAAAGAGAATTAATATTCTGATTTCAAAAAATGGGAAAAACATGTATGTACCCAGTGCCACAGCAGTGGAAATGTGAACCGAAAAATATCTAGTTTCCTGTCCTAAGTGAGCACCACAATGCTGTCATTGAGTAATATCATCAGCCGTACCTTTATATTCTGCTCTCAGACTGTTAGCTGGTATTTCCTAAAATGAACTTAACTAAAAGAAATGGAAACTAATGTAGTTATTCAGTTTTCTTCAACCAATTCCCATTGTAGTAAGCTCTTTATGAATTTATCGTTAAGTAGCTTTTCCTAGCTGTGATGAGTTACAAGAGTAATATGATTTTGCTTGTTTTCTGATTGGATCAAAATGCAGATGCTTCTGAAGTGTAATTACCCTTTATTTCCACAGAAAACAGCACAGAGGAAGCTCCAAAATCAGTAGAAAAAGAATTTGGAATGGGTGTAAACTGTGATTAAATTCATGCTTTTTAGAATGTTGATATATCTTTTTGGAGAATTGGTAAATATATTTTGCTTTTCTAATAATTTATATGATAAAGCAGTCTATCAGTTCACAGTCCTCATTCATAATAATGAAGTTTCAAAGAGTGGAAGAGCACAGCTTTTTTTTTTTTTTCCTTTTTATGTGGAACATTAATGGCCTATTTATGTTAATTTTGAGTACATAGTACAGTGACATACAGCTGTTAAATGCACATCATTGACTTGAGTGGGAGTTGATGACATATAGCATGTATCAGAATCATACCATTAATTAACGTATTTTGTAATTATAATTACAATTAATTAAAATTATTTTAACTTGTAGCCAGAGCACTTCATCCCTTCAGGGTAGGGGCAAAATGCCAGAATAAGAGTAAGATCTCTGATTTCAGGATGATAAGATATTATATAAGCAAGACAGCAGATGTGTGGAGCTACTGGAATGAAAAGAAATATTGCTGCATTGCAGTAAAAATTTCTGACACTTTTAAGTTTTAGCTTACAATAACAGAAATATGTGCTGGCCTCTCTTCTAACATTTTGTGGAGATGCACCCTCTCTAATGACAGTATATGTCCTTAAAGATAATTTTTTGCCTTGAACTTGCTATCTTTTGTACTTAAGTGTCTGAGAGGTGGATTCCCAAGTCGGCACTATTCTCCTAGATTTGCAAAGCAGTAGACCAGAAGATCTCTGTCAGGCCTGAGAATTTCAGAAGATGTTTTTAACTTCAAGCACAACTGAAAAAAAACCCTGTAGAACTGATCAAATCCCAAGGTGTAGCTGCAGACTCTAGTTTTCAGAACTGCTTGCAAACCATTTGTTTTAGGAGGTGACAAAAGATGTTTCAGCACATCACTGCTCTTTCAGGAAGTGTTGTTTCACTGAGAGCAAAACTTGGACAGGGATATGCCAAATAAAACTACATCAATTTAAAAAAGAAAATGAAGTTTTGATGTGGCTGAAATGTTAACTTCTAATCACAGTAGCAGACTGTTTCAATTAAATATTTATTTGATATAATAAATAATACATTACTACCTAGGAATTTTCTCTGTGTTTCCTCCATGTAGGTTTCAGGACACAGGAAGCTAGTTTACATCATGTATCTGGATCGCTTGCTCTGTTATGTATGCATGTCTCCAGTATGCCCATTGGCACAGTATGTCTACATAGATCTCAGTTCCTTTATGTGACCACATGCTGAGCCCTCCTTGTTTAGCTGGGCCTCTTGATTCTACTAATTCATTCTTAAGAGGAAAAAACCCTATTGGGAAATTATGGCAATGGGACACTGGGAGAGAATTTAAAGAAGCTTGGCAAATATCATGTCATTACTGTAGGCTCCAGAAGGATGTTCTCATAACAGAAACCATGCTACTCTCCTGCACCTGCTTCTCCACAGCTCCATTAAGAAACAACAGATTTCTTTGTATTATACCATTCTTTTATCTTGACATTGGTAAGGAAAAGGTTCAGTGGTTCTCCCTGCTTGAGAGTCAGTGCCATGTATGTTCTTGGTTTTGGCTCCTTGTGTTCTCGGCTGTTCAGACACATCACTTTCTGGACATGGACACTGGATGGTTGATTTTTTCAGTCTCATTTCTACTTCTTTATTTACAGAGTATACATTTCAAAGCTGCTTCTAGTTACAAGCTAATGCAAAAATATAAGCACCTAGAAATGACCAAAGTGTTTGATTGAACAGTACCTATTAGTAGCTCACACTGGAGCTGTGAAGGTTTTTCTCCAGAATAGCTTGTTTGATTTGGATTTTGATCACCTGAGTTTGTAGATTTTTAGTTTAAACTTTCAGTTTGAAAAGCTCAGTAATCGAAGACAGTCATGTAGTTGCTCATATAGTTTGATTACAGGACAGATGTCTAAATAAGTATGGGTTTGTTTTGTATGAGTTTGAATCTCACTTGAATCTTCCCATAGACCTGAAGCAAGTTCATGCACACAAGTGCAGAGGCAGAGCACAAACAATTTCTATGTTTCTAGCTGAACCTAAGCTGGGCTGGAGGATCAACATTTTATAGCAACCTCACAAACCACAAATTTTCTCAACTTATCTTTAAAACACTGACATTTGAAAACTTTTACTGAATTTCTGTTTTTATTGATACACAGAATTTCCAGTGCAATGAAGCTATGTTTGAGGCTGTAGAACAGCAAGATCTGGACGCTGTTCAGATTCTTCTTTATCAATACACACTGGAGGAACTGGACCTGAACACACCAAACAGTGAGGGATTAACTCCTTTGGATATTGCCATTTTGACAAACAACATCCCTATTGCTAGGACCCTTCTACACGTTGGGGCAAAGGAAAGCCCACACTGTAAGTAAAGATCACAAATCAAATTGACTTAGATTATTGTTTGTAGGAGGTTAGGTTTGCTGCTGTTTTGGGAAATTAATTGCATTACACATGAAAATGGACTGGTTTTATCGTAAAGATGATCATGCCAGCAATAGTACCACAGTGGTGGAGGACATTTGCAGCAATATCAGCTTGTTGAATGTGTGCTCGGTAGATCTTTTTTGTTCTCTATGTCAGATACACGAACTGATGAATCAGGTTGAGCTTCTAATGTGATTAACAGTGGGGCAGCTGAGTTAACATCAATACTGAGAAAATAATCTTTAAAAATATGGAAGCAGGAACTGAGTGAGTGATTCAAAGATCATGGTCTGAAATATGAAGTTTGTCATCAAAAATGAAAGGACGATGGGTTGTCTAGACTTTGGTTTATTTTTATTATCCTTTTGCTTTTGGCTATGCTGCCTTCAGGAGACAGGTTGTGTTGAAATCTATCATTTCCATTACCCACAGACTCCTCACTCCTAGTCTTCAAATGGCCTAAAATCCCACTTAAATGAGAATTTCAAAGTTCTACAGAACCAGAGAAAATCTAAACACAAAACAGACCTTCTCACTTTACTGGAATACCAATATTGCTTATAACTACATATTGTAGTTATAAAACTCCTTTGTATTCCTTCATGGACATTTTTATGCACAATTTGTGGGTTGGAGGGTGACTTACCAACCCAATTAATCAACTGTATACCATGACACAAACTCTGACGCCTTACTTGTGTCTAAAAATACACCAATGTATGCGAATTTGTTTTAAACTGTCAATGCCTATATTTAGGACATTCCCAGCAAGGCTATAATGAGACTGTGTTTGAGGGGTTCGGCCACTGCAGACTCTGCCATTAATTTGAAGTTAGTTAAATTAACAACATTTAGTGCTGGCATGTCAATCTCAGTGCTCCAGGAAATTGCACCTTGAGGCTACTAACATTGCCAGTTTTTTCACTGGAGAGTGTGTGTGCATGTGCGTGTGTGTGTTGAGTTTTTTTGCCAGACCCTCAGTGTTGGTACACCTTTATTGCTTTTCTATGTCCACAGCACTTATATTATCATTTATTCTGGCCTCCTTTAACCTTCCCTGGAGATTTTTGCATAGTGTAGCTGCTCAGTGAAAAGAGTTTTTTAGTTTTATATTTATTTGTTTATTTTTCTGTCATGGTTCATGACTGAGGCTTTAAAAAAAAGTGTGACAGCATTTAGAGTACATGATTGACTGCTGAAGCAACATTCATTAACCATGACAAATCTAGAGGAAAACACAGTCTTGAGTGTTCTAAACAGCAGTAAAAAAGACTAAACTAATTTTTCATTGACCTCATCTGTAAATAAATGCAGTCTGATGGCGAGCAGGGGCAATCATAAATTAGTATTCATTTCCTGTAATTAATGCAAACATGCCTATGAACACAGAGAATATGAATATATAACCACCTCATTTCCATTTCAAAATATACCCACCAAATTTCCACTTCACTTATCTTGATTTTCAGTTTTTCTGATTGAAATAATGGATGAAGCATTCTCAATAAAAAGCAAATGATTGTTTATTTTGATTTTTTTTTTACCTTAAGGGTTTACAGTTGCTACTTGAGAGTAAAATGCAAAAAGTTATTTTCAGCACTCGAAACAAAGGTTCACAGCATCTTTGCATGTGGCTTCATTCTTGTGGAATTGATAGCAGTCACTTTCTATTTTCTCTAGTCTTTCTGCTTTGCTTTCTGTACTTCACTAACCCTGTTAGCATGAAATCAGTTCTGTCTGTATGATCTCAGGGCTGCAAGAACATGATCCAGCACCCAGCAGGAGCATTTTCATTTCTCTATGGTGGGCAGCTGAGCAAGGCTTCCTCAGGATGAGTGGGAGGGGAGGAGTTTTCAAGGTAAAATTCTGACTCACCCCAATTTTGGGACAGGACACAAACATCCCTTGGTCTGATTGGAAGTGTATAGGACAGATGAACAGATCTGGAAGGCTGCAAGGTAGAGGAATTCCCCGTTCCAAGTGCACACAGAAAGCTTCCTACAGAGAAAACTCTTGCTCTTAGCCGTAGTGATCCAGCTGAAATCTCACCCTAACCTAATGCTGTAGAAAAAAGGATCTGGAGGACAGACAGCTTCCATCTGTATCACCTGGATTTCTGCCTGGAATAGGAACAACAGCAGATAAAGCAATAGAAAGTAAACCTATGATCTTCATTTCCACATGGAGCTCAGATTGTATAAACCTTAACAGGAACTCAACAACTCTTAAACACAAAACAAGATCAGAGTACAGCATTTAAAAATATTAATTTAGTTTAGGGAGAAGACAAAGTCCACTGTGTTATCTTTTCAGTTACTCTTATTCATCATATACGCATGGTTTGGCTTGTCTTGTTCATGTGAACCCAAATGAAAATAAGGTTAAAATTTCCAGTGGCTGATTGGACATATTTGCAAGACAGTTGTGGATCAGAATCTTGTTTAAACAGATAGAGCCAGATCCTTAGTAAGAACTTGAACCAATGCCAATTCTCAATCACCTGAAGTTCTGGCACATAAAACCTCCTTCTTCAGTCCTGTTGCGCTATCAGATGTGTTGCATGCTTATTGTAGGCATGGATCCAGGAAACCATATCACCTCTGGCCTCCCAGTAAACAGGCAGTTCTGAGGATGCCAGCAGATTCCAGTAAGCCTGGCCATATGTCTCTGATGTCCATATGAAGAATGATCAAACTTCAAGGATGGCTTCAAGCCAGCTTCTGAAAGCAAAGTCTTAGAGATAAACATTCTTCAAAAACAACCTTTTGGATGTCAGAGGTGTTGAGTAATTTTTTGCTCTCCTCCTGTGGCTTTAAATATCCCATGGCACTTTTCACATCCGTATGTAGGGTTATTCTTAGACTCTGCTGAACTTCAATTGGGATATTATTATGAGAGACAGGGGGTTCAGACTGGATAAAAGAGACACCTTTTTCACCATAAGGACAGTAAAGGAGTGGAATAGGTTGTCTAGAGTCATTGTAAAGCCTCCATCCTGAGAAGTTTTCAAGACCAGACTGGATAATGCCCTCAGTAACTTGGTCTGACCTCACAGTTGACCCTGTTTTTTACAGGAAGGTTGGACTAGAGAAGGTCCTTTCCAATCTGATTTATAGAATCATAGAATCGCTTTGGTTGGAAAAGACCTTTGAGATCATTGAGTCCAACCTTTAACCTAACCCTGCCATCCCACCACTAAACCATGTCCCTAAGCACCTCATCTATCCTTCTTTTAAATACCTCCAGGGATGGGGACTCGACCACCTCCCTGGGCAGCCCATTTCAGAGCCTGACAACCCTTTCGGTGAAGAAGTTTTTCCTAATGTCTAGCCTAAACCTGCCCTGGCGCAGCTTCAAACCATTCCCCCTCGTCCTATTGTCCATTACCAGGAAGAAGAGGCTGACCCCCACCTCGCTACAGCCTCCTTTCAGGTAGTTGTAGAGGGCGATCAGGTCTCCCCTCAGCCTCCTCTTTTCCAGGCTAAACAACCCCAGTTCCCTCAGCCGCTCCTCGTAAGACTTGTGCTCTAGACCCCTCACCAGTTTTGTGGCTCTCCTCTGGACATGGTCCAGCAATGCAACATCTTTCTTTTTTATTTGTCCCATAATTTATTTTTTATTTGTCCCATAATCCTATGGTTCCAGGTTAGGAATAACACACTCATACACGCAGACGTCTTTGCTGATGTGGTGTTTTGATGTCAAAAATCTGACAGAGTTTTGGTCCCTTATCTGCTACAGTTTGATGTTTTCAGAAATATCTACTGCTCATGGCTTATGCAAGTGAATGATCAGTGCATCCTGTGCAAGATTCATGCCATTCCTGTAAAAACCTTAGGGAAACCAAGACCCTGGCTGTCCCTACAGAGCAACTCCCCATCGTTGCTAAGAGTAGCTGCTTGCACTAATGCAGTGTTTTCAGTAAATAGGGGGCTTTTAAATTAAGACTATCTCAGAACTCTTCAGCAAAAATACCAGACAACAGAGAACGGTTATTTTCTGCGATTTCAGAATACCTTCTCTTGTACACTATTTCCTGCGTATTGAACAGTGGTTGTATTTCTTTTCAGATTAAACACATTTACAAGTCCTGTTTTCTAAACTGCAAATAATTTGAACAATTTCAGACTAACAGCATTGATGAAAATAGGGCTTGATTCACCACATTTCACTGTATAATCAAGGGGCTGGCTTAGGGTAGTCTTGTGGACTTGGGGTAAAATCAAAACTATTTTAGTTTGTAACTTATGCAATCTTCATTTTCACCTTTATTAGCATGTAGCACTCCATGCAGGCAATCTGACCTGCTAAACGTCAAATTAAAATTATTCTGAGCTCTGGAGAAAAACAAAGTTTCCATGTGTCAGGCTGTTTGCTATCTGTCCAGTCTGTCAGAGGACTAATTAGATATTACATGGGCAAAACTGTGGCAAAAAGAAAACCTGGAAAGAGATCCATTCTATGCCAGCCATGGCCCTTAGACACAAAACTCTCATTCTTAAGTAAGTTTGCCAATTAGATCTCTCTTCTCGTGCAGAGATATATGTTGTATGTGTTTATAACTGGTACAACCTTTATTTCTATAAAAGCTTATGATAATATGGGAAAGTAGGGGTTGGATAGAAGCCAAATGCTTTATTATTTTAGTTAATTTTTAACATTCCACCAACTTAAAACATATATGCAATTTCAGTCTAATTAAGACATTTTTAAGCATATGAGAAACATTGGAAGATAAAATTTGCTCAATTTATTCATGTTGTTAATCCCATTTAAGTGGCCAGATCCTTAAGTGGTATAAATTGGCATGCTCTAATCCACTTGATGACAAGGTAACTACTGGAAGGCAGAGTGTTCAAGGATTTGATCTTATATGTGTTATACCAGAATGCGTAAGGACAGAATTTTGTCACACAAGTCCACCAAGCAATTACTTTTCTTTTTTCTTGGTAGTTGTTAACATGGAAAGCAGGTCAGTGCATCTGAGTACATTGGTCCAGGAAGCACAGCAGCGAGTTACTGAATTGTCTGCCCAAGTGATGAATGAAGGCCTTGGTACAGACAGCACAGAAAAAGAGAAGCAACTAAAAGCATGGGAATGGAGATACAGGCTATACAAGCGCATGAAAGCAGGCTACGAGCATGCTAGTAAGTAGAAGAAAATACTTGCAAAATTCAAGAGAAGTCTACAACTGAGACTTTGTGGAGCAAAGATGCTCTCACTAACTGATCCTCGCAGCACTGCTGTGAAGAAGATGAATGTTAGGGTGGGAAAACTGAGGCATACGACTAAATGGCCTTCCCAAGAATGAGAAGGAAATTGATGTTAGAACAATAGAGGACCAAATATCTGAGAGTAACAAGCATATAGCTCCTTTTGGAGCGGGCTGCATAAAATTGATGAGACTTCCAAACTCTTGGTTGAGGATCTAATGATTCTGTCCTGCTTATTTCTCTTTACATTTACTCCTGGATGTCATTTAATGTGCTCAGAGTTTAAAACAGGATGACTAGAAAAGAATATAGGAATAGGGAGGAAGAGGGATGGGAATATTGGCCTTTTTTCTGCTGTAATTTGATTTTTTTAAAAAAATGTATTCCGTTTTAGAAGAATGGAGTTGTCCTAAACATTTGATCAAACAATGGAATTTCATTTTGCATATAAAATTGTGAAAACTTAATCTTAATTTTGGCATCTATGTGTAGCATTTCATCAGTATACTTACAGATCAGGTCATTCTAAACAGTTGTATGAGTCTATACCCAAAGTAAATGTGAATTTGGGCCCATGGGAAGGAGTAAACAGGGGTGAATTGTTTCACATGTAGATCTTTTAGCCGTATCCTATTCAATGAAATACAATCATTGCCATTAACATTTTAACAACCATCTTTATATAAATACTTACAAATAATTTTCTCAAATGTGTTGTATTCTAAGTTTACTTCTTCAATACAGATGCAGTGCTCCTTGTATTAGATACTAAATACAGGAAATAAAGCAATAGTGTAAGTTAATATAATAATTTTTTAAATCAATCCCAGCAGTAAGTCATGACATTTTGTGTTTGATTTCTGAATTGAGTCTGATTGATATGCTGTGAATTAAGCTTTTTTTTAAAAAAAAAAAAAAAAGATGTTAGGCCTCAACTGACAACTGTATTTTGGAGCTATTACACTGAACATTTGTGGAATTTGCAATTTCTGAATCACAATAATGTAAAAATGTTTTCTGTTATTTGATAAATTTGAGTTTGTTAGTGAAACCATAAAGGTTTAATTAGCTCTTTGTGGTTTTGTCCTTTCTCTCTCCTCCTACCTACCCCAAGAGATTTATAGGGGCTTTTCATTGACATAATTAGCATGAATCTGTTTTATTGGGTTACATATATCCAGGAAGATATTTTTAACCAAAAGGAGCCAAAAACCATGATAGAAACAAATGGTGTCTGCAGGATATTGTTAGCAGGGGCACTAATTAAAATGCTCAAAAGGCAGAGAACACAAACACCTACAACCCAAAGCTCACAATTGCAGGGTGATTTTCAGTGGGTTCTTTGAAGACTCAGAAACATTGTTTGAATAGGATTTGTTGTGCTGAAGAGCTGATGTTTTCTCTTCTCTCCCAGGAGCCCCTGAGGCGCCAACCAATGTCTGTCTCATGGTAACAAGCAGTACATCACTCACTGTCACCTTCCAAGAACCTCTGAGTGTCAACTCAGCTGTGGTGACCAAGTATAAAGGTACTGGATTTAGACATCTTTCATTTACCTTAACAATGTACAAAAATTTGAGGGCTAAGTGACAAGGGTATTTATCTACAAGAGATTATATTACAATGCTAGTAATGTCTGAATTAATTATTTTCCTAGTTAATAGCTGTAGAAGTGGAATTTTCTTAAAAGATTCCCCAAAGACAAAAATTTTATTAAAAAAGAAAAATAAATTAACCAAAAGCTTTCTCCATGAGTGCTTTGAAGACGTTTGCTTGACTCACTGTGGTTAGGACATCGGCTCAATGACTGGGTTGAGATGAGCAGTTATAAAACACAAGCTAACTTTTGGTGCCTGTGGGCTCCTGAAACCATGTGTATCCTTGTAAATGCCAAACCCAAACCACCATTCCTTAAAGGAATGCCTCTGGAAGCTGAAATTTTTGGCATGGGCATCATACAGCCCAACTAATTAGCTATTCCAGGGCTGCCACATCATTCTTGGAAAAGCAATACATTTGGGGTGGCACCAGTTAGTTGCAAAGTGGAATGAATAGGAAAATGCTTCCATCTGAATAGCACTGTTTAATAGAAATAGTTTTAAACCAGAATTTCTGTTCCACAGGAAATTCCAACATTTTAAAAAAAAGTTTTGCTGAAGATTAGAACAAAAATGAGAAATTTTAAAATTTCCTGTTTAAAGGAACTTCCAGGTTTTCTAAAATGTTTGGAACAGTAAGTTCTTCAGTTTTAAGTGCAGCAGTCCACAGCCTCTATCTTCCAGTGGGACCCTGAGTCCTTCTACAGGTCAAGGGACTGAAAAGCACTGTTCTGAAGATCTGAGGCCTTCTTTGCTCAGCCCAGGGGAGTCAAGGAGTGAGGATCCTGAAAGTCCTCTTAGTTATCTGTCACCATGTCTCTCTTAATGTTTCTTGTTTTGTTTGTTTCTTTGTATTAATAATTAAAAACTCATTTGAGAGGTTCTTGAACCTTGGATTTCCATACACATAGTAAGAACCATAATGGCTCTGTTGTGGGGCAGTCTATTTCATGTTTCCATCTTGTGGGTGTCACAGGGATCGCTTCAACAGGAGAGAATCAGAAAGCCCCAGTCCATTGAGGGTCCAATAGTTCACGGAGCTCTTCTGAAGGCAGGGCATGCCAGTGCACAGGCTCCACCAGCATCAACCACAAGCACCCAAAGGACTTTGTTTTAGAGACAGATTCTCTCTTTCTTTCCTCCCCCTGCTTCTGGTCAGAGATTCCAGTCATCAGTGGCTATGCCCAGTAAAAAATTTTTTTACAGTGTAAGAAAAGAAAACAACTTCCCAGACATCACTAAAGCCATCAAAGTGATTTAATTCCTGATAGCCTCAGCAGAAGGGCAAATTACTGTATTTACACCTAGTCAGACGTGCAGTGCTGCAGGAAGTGTGATTTTCAAAAACATCAAAGCCCTTTAGAAGCCTAAATCTAATTTTCAGCAAAGGCTTGGGTTGCCAGAAAACTAAATTTCATTTAAGGGCTTCCTACTGCCTGATTTACTTGTGAAAATGATACTTGGGCTCCTAAAACACTTAAGCTCTCTTGAAAATATCAGCCTGCTCTTTGTAATATGCATAATTTAAACAACCCTGAAATATCGTCCACACTCTAATTATAATGGTTGTTGATATTTTCACAGTAAAGCAAATTCCCAAATAGCACTGATTTTTAAAAATAGTTTTCTAAATGTTGTAGTATTTTTCTCTTGTGTATTCATTTGGATTGAGTCTGTTTTGCACTGTGCCAATTCTGTCCTCTTTTTGGTAAGCGCAACAGTCAGAGAAATTTAATCCAACCTGACCTAACTTTCTAAGCAGACTAGGTAGCATTGCCGTCGCATTTTGAATTACCCTCACTGGTGATCATTTTATGCTTTATCAACTTGACAGTTAGTTTTGCCAGATTGTTCTTTTTAAATCCTTTATCCCAGGAGATTTGCATATTTATGGTTAGATAAAAAGCAAGATCATTAATAGCTCCTTTTGGTGACTTTCGGGAATTAATTAAGCACTGGTTGTAGAATTGTTTATTACATTATGGAGTGAGATTCTTTGTGCTAGTTTGAGAGGTCATAAAATGAACCTTTCAAATGATCACTTGCAAGAATGATTAGAACCAGCTAGCAATTACTAGCCCTGAAAGGAGAGCTTGATAACATTGTGTGAGGATCTTTTTAGTCAGATATATAAACCTCCTATGCAGAAAACCATCTAAGCGTTTTGCTAATTCAGGGACAAAAATAAGCTGTTAGGGTTTTTTTCCCCTCAGTACTTTACCATTTCTTTTTCTAAGCAAATTAAAATTCAGGAGCATTTGCAGCACTGTTTAGGGAATACCTGCTCATTAACAGAAGCTAATAACGTTCTTTTCTTCAGACTTGAATTATAGGGGATAAAAAATGACATCACTTCTGTTCAGTTTAGTTTGGTTCCCTAAAAACAGTGCAAAACTGCCAATTCCTTTTTTCTGTGTCATCTTTTTTTTAACATATTTTTCCAAAGCTTTATTTGCCCAAATGTCATTTAGAAACTGGGCTTGGAACATTATCTAACTGTCTGCTATTTTCCTCTGTGTGATCTTTTCCCTTGTTAGCTGTATAACTTACAAATAATAATACAGGAGAATAATACTTTGCACTCACTCTCTAACCACTGAAACCATCTCACTTCATTAGGAGATTTAATTTTAACCACACACGGTGAATGGGTATTGACTTTGGTGTCCCAGCTGGATGGCAGTTCAGTGACTGCATTCTGTTGAGCCATTGCTTTAAGGAGCCAGAATATTCTTTACTTCCTCTCCTGGATTGTTGTTTAATGTTGCAGGCACCATCCTAATGGCTCCCTTCAGTTTCCCTCCAGAGAAGGCTACAGCGCGGTGGTGGCTGACGTGAAATGATTCCTATGTATATTGTAACTTAGTAAAGTGTTTTGAGGCTGGAAGCAGACAGGCATGACATAAATCAATAATAACAGTAATAACCTGCTCCATGCTAGAGAAAGATTCAAAGCCAGAGACACCTCACTCCAGCCAGTTTTAGGAAGGATGTGAAGCATCACTGTAATATTGAGAAGAAAAACCCCTGCCCTTGGCTAAAGCCAAACTTCACATCCCATCGTGGAAGTACTTAAGACTTGCTTTAGTTTTACGTCTTTGAAAACACAATCAAAGCGTTCCACACTTATACATAATAACTGGCCACGGTTTGAAGCTAAGGTGAACCTTCTGTTTACACTGTCATATTGTTTCTGCATGATACATTTTTATCCTAGAGCTACACTACCATAACTATCTTGATGCAAAAAATCCCAGCAGCAACAAAATCCAGATAGGCACCACTTGACTCCTAGGAACAGTCCCAGTAGAGCTGAGTGGTAAGTGCTTGTAGGGCTTTTAAGAACTGTTGTCTTTCACTAATTAGCCTTTCTAGGGTCCACATGTTCCACACAGCACATACACATAAAGAAAGCAGTTTTATTTAAAGAACAAAATTATAAGTAATGGTATGTAATTTTGTTGCACTTATTTTCTGTGCATTTTAAACCCGATCATTATTTTGCTTTTAGGGTGAATAAGTACAGGTAATCCTCCTCTTAAAGCATTATGTTTTTTCATCCATTTCCCATCAGAAGTAGTCATGATAATGCTGTGATCCCCAAGTATAGGATAAGGAAGAAATCTGGACACAGAGCTGATCATTACCTACTGGAAAGGATCACTATGCAATGAAAAATATCCATTTGTATTTTATTTACAATTTTAAACAAACATCTATATTCCCTTTTGGAGAAAAAATGAAACAGTTTGTATAACTAAAGTTGAGCTAATTTATTTAAGAGCCTGGAACTATTTATGTTTGAAGAGAGAGGAAGAGAGAAAAAAATGAGCCATGTTTGATGTAGCAAACAGAGCTGATCTTCTTTCTGTTTAGATGTAGCTGTGGATTTGGATGCCAAGTTATTTTCCAGATAGTGATGCTAAGCTGTCTAGGCCACTTTAACCTTTGTTATTTTTTGTTTAGTTTGTTATTTTAGCAGACTATTTCATGTTTGTCAGGACTGACATGTTGCCTTCTAGGATTTCTGTTGGATAGAGAGAAGTTTTTTTTATTGTCTATGTCAGTGTAGCTCTTAAAAAAAAAAAAAAACAAACAAAACCCAAACATGTCAGCTTAGATCAGGAAAGAAGGAGTTATGTCTTGCTTAAATTTTGACAAAAAGTTGTTCCCTGCCTCCCTTCTTCCAAGGCAATTTGTGGTTCATTTCAGAATTTTTTGCATAAGAATAATTTAAATTGTCTTTAAATCACTGGTTCAGTCCTGGTAAGATTAGATATGCAGTAGCCACCGTATGTTGCTGTCGTATGGCTGCATGAAATGGGTTGATTATAGGCAAGTACCTTTGTCCAGGAGAAGCTGGTGCAATTTGGTGTTATCACTGGAGGTCTCAGCTAAAGGATGAACAGAGCTACCTTTTCATTAAGGGTCAGCACCTGAGGTCATGGGATGAGGAAGCCTGCCAGGTTGGGCCTGTATGACATATGTTCTGTAGCTCAAAAAAAATCTGTATTTGAGATTCTCCGTTGTCATCTCACTGTGTCAATGGAAATTTTTCATTTAAAATTTCAGTGTGAAAAGCCTCAAAGATTTTACAAAAACTATCTACAAATTTTGTGTGATTCTGCTTGTGTTACTCTCAGGGTAATCCTTTCACCAACAAATAATCTTATAATTTTGCATGGCCTTCTGCTTGTCCCTGTGAGCACATAAAAACAGCATATACCATATGTTTTGTAACTATGTATTTGATTTGTCTATCAATAGTTGAGTTTCCATGTTTAATCAAGTTTGGATTTGTTCCATAGCAGGCTTCCTGCAGTGATTCTTTGAGTACTGTACAGTGGGTTTGACTCCAGACTGATTTGGCTAGTGTAATAGTAGAGCTTAAACAAACACCTAAATACATATATACATTTGACATCTCCAG